TATATTGGCTCCACCAGAAGCGTGGCAAAACTACCACTAATTACAATTGGATCAATAATGAACTCGCGGTAGACCCGGCATGGCCAGGTGGTTAGGGCACTCGACTCGCAATCTGCGATTCGCGGGTTCGAATCCCCGTCCCACCAAAACATGCTCGCCCTTTCAGCCGTGGGGGCGTTATAATGTGACGGTCAATCCCACTATTCGTTGGTAAAAGAGTAGCCCAAGAGTTGGCGGTGGGTGGTGATGACTAGCTTCCTTCCCTCTAGTCTTACACTGCTAAATTAGGGACGGCTAGCGCAGGTAGCCCTCGTGTAGCTTTGCGCGAAATTCAAAACAAACAAACAAAACAAACAAAACGAACTCGCGGTTAATACGCTTGAGCAACGAAATTGTTGAAAGATAATTTGTGATTTGGCACTCCACCAGAGGCGCTGCAAACAGTAGGAAAAATTACACACACAAGCTTGGTAAACACATTAATTATGAAAATCTTCTTATTGTGGCAGTTTTGTTTGTTTACAGTATTCGAAGCAAAGTCAAAATACTTATTTGTTTTTCTCCCATATAATTTGTAAAATATATTTTATTTATCTACTTATAGAGTTTGTTTAGTTTTGGGATATAGTCCTTAATAGTTACGGTAAAGCAGAACGATAACGTGCTGCTTACAGAACATCACCGTGAAAACTGGTAAAACAGAACGATAACGTGCTGCTTAGAGAACATCACCGTGAAAACTGGTAAAACAGAACGATAACGTGCTGCTTAGGGAACATCACTGTGAAAACTGGTAAAACAGAACGATAACGTGCTGCTTAGAGAACATCACCGTGAAAACTGGTAAAACAGAACGATAACGTGCTGCTTAGAGAACATCACCGTGAAAACTGGTAAAACAGAACGATAACGTGCTGCTTAGAGAACATCACCGTGAAAACTGGTAAAACAGAACGATAACGTGCTGCTTAACAGAACATCGCCGTAAAAACTGGTAAAACAGAACGATAACGTTTATTCGTGATTTACACCATATATATTTCTAATTATTTATTAACTTATTTGTAATAATCATAAAGCATAAGTGCCCCCCCTACACTATTTATTTTTCCCTCTACTTTTCTCACTTGATGTGCTTACAATATTATTTAAAACCAGCTGAATTATTAAATGTGTCTTTGTTTCAATGATAATGTTAACAGCTATGTGCTTACAATATTATTTAAAACCAGCTGAATTATTAAATGTGCCTTTGTTTCAATGATAATGTTAACAACTATGTTAGATTGACAACGTAAGATACCCCTGGTGATAATTAAATGTGTCTTTGTTTCAATGATAATGTTAACAACTATGTTAGATTGACAACGTAAGACACCCCTGGTGATAATTAAGCTAAACCATGGTCCCACCAAATATGATTGCCCTTTCAGCCATGGGGGCGTTATAATGTGACGGTCAATCCCACTATTCGTTGATAAAAAAAGAGTAGCCAAGAGTTGGCGGTGGGTGGTGATGACTAGCTGCCTTCCCTCTAGTCTTACACTGTTATATTAGAAACGGCTAACACAGATAGTCGTCGTGTAGCTCTGGGCGAAATTGAAAACAAACCAAACCAACTGTTTGAAGACAAACTTTTTTTTTAGTCTTGTCGTCGATTCAACAGTAACTAGAGTATAAAGGAATGAAACATAACACTGTGTACTATATGCAGTGTGTTAGTATTGTTAACAATACATGTTCCTAGGCCCTTCATTGCCAGAGCGTAGGGAGACAAACAAACGTATTTATGTCCATGCGTAACATTGAGATTTCAAGATACGAATTTTCCTTGTTATAAAAATCTTAAATATAAAAGTTATATAAACCTGGATCTTTTCTGTTTCCTGCACTGCGTTCAGGTCAGTTTATGTGAGGTTAGATCAAGTTAGACTAATTAATAAATAATTAAATGTTTATTTAAATAAAAAATCAATGTCTTTCTTCCACTTTAAAAAATCAATTCTCCAAATTTTAATTTATATTTCGGAAATCTGCAGTAAATTCAAAGTACTTGGAATATAGTTAAGAGACGTACCAAGCGACATAACAAGTTCGATTGGCATCGTAGGCATGAAAATGATGATCTCTTCAAGCAAATATTTAAGAATATTTCTGAATTTTCACATTGAATTTGTTACACTGTCACTAGATACTTTGTATTGTCTTGAAGTTTTACAATTCTTTTAAATACATAGGTATGTATGTAATGATAAAAGTACTTCCTCTGTTTCGTAAGCAAAATATAAAATTTATTTCATTTCTCCAAATTTTAATTTATATTTCTGAAATCACCATTAAAAACTACATTCAAAAATATATATTATTTTCTATATGAACTATGTGCAGGAAACAGGAAAGATCCAAAACCCTTCTAAATTACAAATGTGGTAAAGCCTAAATAAATTAAAACTATATGCGCAGACTGACATTTGATGTGAACATGTGGTGTACTTGTACAACTACAATGTACTGCTACTTTATAAGTAAGTTACTCTAAGAAGGGGGGATTGAAACACTTTGTTAATTGGAATTCATAGCATAATGAGATCATGGAAAAATTATCTTCGTATTGCCATTGTATTAATAAATCGCATTCGATTATTCTGTTCCAGTTCATCTCTTATATAGGAAAAATGATTAATGCAAAGGACCTTTGAGTTATAATCATTTGAGTTTTGAGCTATCAACACATTGTTTTCTCTCAATAAAATTTAGGGGGAAAAAATCAACTGAAAAAAAAAACAAAGTGAAGAAGTCATCTGAATGCGCAACTTCAGGTTTAAATTTCAAAATTTTACTTGGAGGGGGGGATCTCCCGCACCCCTAGTGAAAGGGGAGAACCCCCTGATACCCCCTCCATCATGCGTAACTCAGATCTAGTCCAGCTATGTCCGTTATTATCATATGAAAAGCAATAACATTCTGATAAAACAGCATATGGTTCGTGAAGAATACTTCTCCATCAGTGTTCTGAGAAGTCTATAAAGAACTTGGATTTATCGTGTACACGAATCGATGTGGTATTAAATATGTGCTGATAAAGGTCGTTTCGCCGACAGTCTGACTACATAATGATGTTTCCCTTACAACGATTTAACAACTTATCTTTATTTCATCTGCAGTTACATTTATTCTTAATCCGAGATATGTTAAAACACTGCTTAATTAAATTGGGTTTTATTCAGTGTGATTCTCATTTATTAGCACTGTTTAATTTATTTAAAAGTTTTGCACCTTTACTTGTAAATAAGAACTACTAACTAAGCAGGTCTTTATGCTAAATGAACGCTTGTGAAGTTTCTCAAGTATAACATTATGCACTAATAAGTTCGACAAATGTCAAGCGTGCAATCGGAGACATCCAGTTGAGTGTCATGTCATATGACGTTATCCGCATGGATTTCAGTAGTGCAAGTAGAAATACTTATTAACACCAATATATATATATCACAATTTCAGGAATAACTAAATTATTATGGGGATTCGAACCCGCGACCCGCAGATTGCGAGTCGAGCGCCCTAACCACCTGGCCATGCCGGGCCAGCCTTTCCTTTGGGAAGTAATACGAAAATTTTAGCTTGAATTTGTATTTTTTATCGTGTTTTTCTGTTTCGTCTCTGAAATCAAGTGTTTTCACTCTCTTATATAAGCTACGTTCCCTCTTCGTATATTTCGGAATATATATCAATATTATTATCATGTAGAAGTACGCAATTCTTTTCACTATCACGATATTCAACACTTTGTTACCTTGAACTAAGCACGTGCCCTCAAAATTTCACACTCTCTTCTTCAATGGAGATTGGTCAGCTTTCATGACCGCATCGACAAACGCTTCCTGCCCACGTGACGTATACATCTTTTTTATATGTATATTACCCAACACTCTTTAACCTTTTCTACTCAGGGTCTTTTGAAAAATATTATATTTAAATTGAATGTTTGTTTTTGGATCGGAATGTTTTTCGGTTCTAGAAAATGTAAAAATACAACTCGTCAATTATAAGATTTGGAACATGTTTTGGTAGTTTTAGTTATAAACTTAGAAACTGTCAAAATATAAGATTTGGAGTATGTTTTGGTAGTTTTAGTTATAAACTTAAAAACTGTCAAAATATAAGATTTGGAATATGTTTTGGTAGTTTTAGCAATAAACTTAAAAACTGTGAAAATATAAGATTTGGAATATGTTTTGGTAGTTTTAGTTATAAACTTAAAAACTGTCAAAATATAAGATTTGGAATATGTTTTGGTAGTTTTAGTTATAAACTTAAAAACTGTCAAAATATAAGATTTGGAATATGTGTTGGTAGATTTAGTTATAAACTTAAAAACTGTCAAAATATAAGATTTGGAATATGTATTATTATTTAAAGTGCAAAATTGGAATTCCTTAGATTTACCATTCAGATTATATTATGCGTCATAAAATTATAAAATTAAAACTCGTCAAATATTAATATTAGGAACAAGTTATACACTTATAGTTAGAAAATCAGGACCCATAAAATATTTTACAGGTTTCTTACATCTACATGATACCTGTTTAACCTAAGAAAAACAAGGTCTCTGGATAGCTATATGGATCTATCTGTCTCGTCTCATTTTACTTACTATATGGCCCCCAGTGGCACAGCGGTATGTCTGTGGACTTATACCGCTAGAACCGAGTTTCGATACCCGTGGCGGGCAGAGCACAGATAGCTCTTTGTGTAGCTTTGTGCTTAACTTCAAAAACAAACAATAACTTACTATGTGGTGTAACAGCGGTAAGATTAGGGACATGCAAACACTAAAATCTGGGGTTCGATTCCCCAAGGCAGATTTCCCAATGTGACTTTACTTGTTATTTTATTTGTTATTTTTTCAGTGATTTTATCTACTTGTTTTTTTTTTTCAAACATAAACCAGTAACAAAACTATATTAATCCACCCGTCTGTGTAAAAATTCACCTACCTGAACCACGTCACCACCAGTAACGCTAGAACTGTAATGACCGGTAACAACATGTCTGCTTTTTACTTCAGACTTAAACAATTGTGATTTGGTTTAGCTTCTCTATCATCTTTTGTAACGTTTCATTACGACTCCTAGCGGTAGAAATATGTGAATACGTATGATCTTGAGTAATCTATGATAAATTTTTTCATACTATTCTAATTTCACTTATCTTTCATCAATAGCATGTACGTGTTATATACATGGATGTGCACTTCTCGATCGTATTTATGTATATCAAATAATTCAAGTTCGTTTAGTTTTTCTTACCTATAAACATACGCTACCTACATTACTCACTTTTATCTAAATTTCACTATATTTACTGCATTTATTATCTGACTTTTAAGTATTTTCTTTCCACGTGAAGGAGATCTGTTTATTTCAGTTGTACAACTATTTCGTAAATAATACTTCTCAACTTATTTGAATATGACAGCTACTTCTCCTATATTGGGCTGTAATTTGTTTTGTTGGTATGTCATTCGTATTTATGTGTATTTATGTTATTGCTACTTCGTCTATAAGATGAATAGATTAATAATGGGTAGTATGCTATCGTACACTTGCTGTATTATGGAAAAGCTACAGGTAAGAGAGGTGTGCTTTGAGCATGACAACCTCACAACGGAACCTTTGGCTATTGAAACTAGGCTACGCAAGATATTTGTTTGTTTGGGTTATATGTACTAATTATGAAGCCAGAAATAGATTAGGACTGTACACCATCTTTTCTTCACTGATATTGGCGATATACTGAAGAAAAAAAATAATACATAAATACATAACTGGTCACTCTGCTCAAGAGAATGTATAAGAGGCATGGTTATCAGATACAGCATGACAGGGGGTGGTGGCATGGTAATGAAGTCGTGGTGGTGCTCCCAAATCGTTTTATCATAACGTATTCAATCTCTCTCTTTGTGTGTGTGTATATATACATACTTATATATTTGTAGAAATAATACAGCTTTATTATAGATGTGCGCGCCAAAAATAATACACTACCACTGACTGTCTATAGCCGCTTGTGGGCATGATAGTTACCCCTAAAGACATAAAACTAGAAATCTGAAATCTGCACTTAATATCATGGGTGCATTATAAGTGTTATCTTACACAGACGGTTGAAAGCAAGAAATTAGTATAGAGTGTTTGATTAAAACACTTGAATCACTGAGAAGCGAGTCCTTATAACACATGAGTATTATTCTGGTGACAGGCCAGGGTTCGAGGACGACGTTATCACAGACCAAGACAGGACGAATAGACACGAAAGATACGGGAAACGTTAACGAATGCACATTGTTATCTGAAACATTAGGCTAAGTTATTTATCAAATTGTTTATATAAAAAACAATCAACAGCTCCTCTCATGAAATATTACATCTGCAGATAGTCAATTATATACTGAAGGCATTATAAAACATTAGCTAATTGGGTTATAAAATGGGTTAAATAAAAAACAATGCTCTCGTAGTCTGTTATATACTGAAGACATTATAAAACATTAGCTAATTGGGTTATAAAATGGGTTAAATAAAAAACAATGCTCTCGTAGTCTGTTATATACTGAAGACATTATAAAACATTAGCTAATTGGGTTATAAAATGGGTTAAATAAAAAACAATGCTCTCGTAGTATGTTATATACTGAGGGCATTGGGGTTGTGAGTTATGTCTTGTTCGTTAAGACAGACCGCTTGTCATAGAATCTGTAAAAAAAGTGAATGTAAACGAGGCATTACGGATGTGACTTATGTTTCGGTATTATTGAGAGGCTGCTAATCACTGCTTGTCATAGAATCTGTAAAAAAACAAAATATATGGATATACTGAAGGCATTAGGTCTGTGAATCATGTCTCGGTCTTAATGAGAGGCTGCTAATCACTGCTTGTCATAGAATCTGTAAAAAAACAAAATATATGGATATACTGAAGGCATTAGGTCTGTGAATCATGTCTCGGTCTTAATGAGAGGCTGCTAATCACTGCTTGTCATAGAATCTGTAAAAAGTGAATGTAAAGGAGGCATTAGGGATGTGACTTATGTTTCGGTCTTAATGAGAGGCTGCTAATCACTGCTTGTCATAGAATCTGTAAAAAAGTGAATGTAAAGGAGGCATTAGGGATGTGACTTATGTTTCGGTCTTAATGAGAGGCTGCTAATCACTGCTTGTCATAGAATCTGTAAAAAAAACAACAAAGATATGGATATACTGAAGGCATTAGGTCTGTGAATTATGTCTCGGTCTTAATGAGAGGCTGCTAATCACTGCTGTAATAAAAGAACCCGTAACGTTATACTACCATTGTCTAGACAGCGTTTCTTAAGCTTTTAGGTACCAATGACCGATTCGCTGCCTCACTAAACTGTTGCGGACCTCTAAAATGCAAGTGCATTGAAGGACCATTCGGATTCCCTGATTCCTGTATGAATATTCTGTCAGTTTTGTATAATTTTTCCTGTTGTTGTTTACCTGTCTGTTAATATGAAATACTTCGGACCAGCAAGGTGGTTGATAAACGCTGCTCTAAATAATATTTATGTGTAAAAACGTTTTGTGAGCTAATGTTGTTGTTGTTGACTTGTATGTTATTTTGAAATACCTCCGATCAGCAAGGTGGTTGTGATGGACCATCGGTGGTTGATAATTACTGGTCTAAACCATAGTTATGTGTAAAAAGTTTTGTGAACTAATATTGTTATTTACTTGTCTGTTTATGTGAAATACCTACGATCAGCAAGGTGGTTGTGATGGACCATCGGTGGTTGATAATTACTGGTCTAAATCATGTTTATGAGTAAAAAAGTTTTGTGAGCTAATGTTGTTATTGTTTACTTGTTTGTTATTCATTCAAAATTCTAGCTGCCTCCAATTCAAGTAAAGTATAAAAGAGTAAAAATCACCCAAACAGTTTCTGCTACATTTGTGGAAAATATATTACAGTTTCACGAAGGAAAAACATCACACACAAAATAAAGGTAGCTTACTGCCACTATTTTGAGTGTGAAATTGGTGACAAAGAAAAACATCGGGCTCCACATGTGTGTTGTACAAGTTGCACATCTGACTTTACACAATGGCTGAATAATAATAATAAAAGAGCAAGTATGCCATTTGCAGTTCTCATGATATGGCGTGAACCCCAAATATAATCTAATTGACTGTTATTGTTGCATGATTAATGTTTCTAAATATTCAGGCAAAACTAAACAATACATTAGATATCTAGATACTACGTCTGCAATGAAACCATGACCTCATGGGGATTGTCTTCCAGTGCCACATCCACCAGCAAATTGGGAAACAAAAGAGTTATCCTGGAAAGAATACAATGAATCATCTTCATCTAGTTATTCTATTCCAGTGGCACCTCAAGATAAATTGTCTCTTCTGATCACACAGGAAGAGCTAAATGATCTGATTTGTGATCTGTCTCTATCAAAGCAGTATGTGGAACATTTTGGCTATCGTTTACAACAATGGAGTTGGTTAGCTTCAGGAATCAGAGTTTCAATTTACCAAAGTCGCCATCATAGTTTTGCTTCTCACTATAACATGCCAGATACTTTGTGTTTCTGTGCAAATGTTGATGCCCTAATGGAAGAATTAGGTATTGAACATCATCCTCAATAATGGATACTTTCTATTGACTCATCTAAAGTTAGTCTAAAGGCTGTACTTTTGCACAATGGGAACACCAAGCCATCATGTTGCTCATGCTGTGAACATGAAAGACACTTATCAAAGCATACAGATTATACTTGAGACCATCACATATGATCACCATAGATAGAACACATGTGGTGATCTAAAGTTATTGCACACCTCCTAAGCCGAATTGATAAAAATCATTTGATAAAGAATCAGTAGCCAGAGAAAAAGAATTAGTTACCAGGGAAACAGAATATTGAGTATCAACCTTTAGTGAATTCTCAAAATGTGTTTCTTCCCCCACTTCATTTTAAACTGGGTCTCCTGAATAATTTTGTAAAAGGAATGAACAAAAATAGTAATGGTTTCAGATATCTGTCTGACAATTTTCAAAAATCACTGAAACAAAAATGAAATGAGGTATCTTTTTGGGTCACATATTCGGATAGTGCTGATGGATGATGATTTTGAAACAATATTCCATCAAAAAGAACTTGTTGCCTGGAAATCATTCAGAGTGGTTGTCAAAAGTTTCATAGGAAATCACAGAGATGAAAACTATGTTGTGATGATTGATGCTATGCTAGAACTACAGGAAGATAGGGACTAGGATATCACTAAAGATGCACTTCTTGCACTCCCATTTATATTTCTTTCAAATGATCTAAGTGCAGTGAACGATGAGCATGGTGAGAGCTTCCACCAAGATATTTCTACAATGGAACAATATTATCCAAGACAATGGAATCTTGCGATGATGGGAGATTACTGTTGGTTCTTACAGCGTGAAATTGAGAACATACACAAGAAGTGCAACAATTCAAACAGATATCTTGTAACAAAAATTAACAAATAATAATATCGTGACGAAGGTTTTGAACATAACCTGAATGTATTTTCAGTATATAATCTTATTATACTCACTGCTTTTCTAAAACTGGTATTGCTATCATGTATTGTTTTTGAACATTCTTAAATGCAGTTTTCAATTAATAAATAAAACTATTAATTAAAAAAAAGTTCTTTTCACGATATATAAGAATATTTTTAATAAATCTATCATAACTCAAAACCTAGAGATGATAAATAATTTTCAACATGATTTTTAGAATCAGTATCATCAAATTACTCAGAAATAGTGACATATTTTCTTGTAGAAGATAATATTTGTTGTTGCCCAGTGTAATTATAAGTTATTTGATTAATCCGTTTGTTTCAAACTTTCGCGCAAATCTCCACAAAGGCTATCTACACATAGTCATCATTAATGTTGCACTGCTAGACTAGAGGACAGGCATCCAACCAACATAAATCCTGCCAACTCTTGTTTAATAAAATAGTGGGATTGGACCGTCACTCTAAATCTTATAGCGCA